GGAGAAAAATTGATTTTTGAATAGTGATATGATGGGAAATGTGTGGTTGAAAAAGAAGAAAAAAGTATTGATGTGATGGAAAATATTATTTTATTGAAGAATGTGTGGTTGAAAATGAGAAGTGATTTACTGTAGAAAAGGAGAATTGTTACCAAACAGGCTCTTAACCACATCTTTTATGGGCCCCACAGCTTTTCAACCACACATTTCAAAAACTTCTATCACAATCTACTAAAAATCTAATTTTAATCTCCACCAAACACCCACTTAATTAGAATGAAATCAGAAAGAAGAAAGAAGAGATGTAAGTGATGCTATTGGCCGAGGCAAGTGTTTGACACTTTGTACTTAACATGAATTTGTCATGCATCGGTGCTAACGGTTTATAGCAATCACCACCCAAAATACAATGACCACGTCAAGTCATAGGAGCACTCCAAATGGTTTCGACCAACAAACTCGAACGGAATTTCCTCTCTACCATAACCATGATTCTGATGCAAGTGTTTTATGCAACCTAAATTGTAAACATGGAATGGAATGATATGGAACTATCAATTGAATTGTCCTTTATCCAAACACATGGGAAATCTATATATATAGTAGTTCGAAAGGTTTGTCAAAAGACACAACCATACCAAGAGACACGTCTCTTGAAATTTATATCTACTTATTAAGATACATAATTATTGGAAAGTAATCATACCAAAAGTTATGATCTCCAAAAGTCATGATCTTCCATATGAAAAGACACATCTTTTCATCCACATATTTTTTTAGAATATTTCACAATATTCTATATGATTTTCCAATAATTTCAAGTATTTAAGCGGTTTAAGTTTAACTTAATTTCTCCTTCACCAAACAACAAATTCCACTTAAATAATCACTTAAATTGGTTACGATCAATTTTCGATACAAAATTCCAACAGTCCCCCATATGAATGAAAATTAATACAAATGACTATGTAGACACTAGTAGAGAGAGCGGAAAAATACTTCATTAGGTAAGGTAGCTTTCGACTTTAAACCTTCTTTAGTGAAATACCATCGGATTTACTTAACTAATTGGTGAATATGATCTCTTGAACCGTTCAGCCGTTGGTGT